ATTTAAGACTGATAAACGTCGAATTGAATTCCACACTCTCTGAGGGATCGACTTGGACTCTTTAGGTCCACTTTTACTACTTGTTCTCGACCCGTGTACTTGCGGCATAGAATCGAAACCCGAACAGAACACATTTTTAACAATCTCAAAATGGACACTCAAAACACAAAACACAAAATGAATTCAAAATTCAAAATACAAAACTGAAACATAAAGAGAACGGCCCCTAAATGCCTGTTTTTTTGTAATTTGCTCTATATATAGACATTAGACAACCATTATTCATGAAACGATTTAAAATGTTACGAAGATCATTAAAATTTCGAACTTTCTATGGACCCACGATTATGTCATCTAGAGTGAATAGAAATGGCTGATAAATAGTCAAAAAGTCCACATGAGAGAACGCTTTGTTGCGGTATTTTCTGCCTTACAATTTTGTCAAAGAACCTCACAGTCACAAGCCATATTTCTTTAGGATTTGGAAAAAAAAAACCATCATTTTCATGACAATTTAAATTTTCTGGAAGCTTAAATTTCACATGACGAAGTTGTCAGAAATTATTATGGAAGCCCAAAATTCCACGTCGTAAGAACTAACAATTCTTTAGGTGGCAGAAATGTTTATTTTTGACTCACTACGTTAGAGAATTATGTTCATCTTTTAGTACTTGATAATGATTGACGTTTTTGAATTTTAAGTGTTATTTTTCTGCTTACAAATTACAATTCTACTTCGAAAAAAACTAATTAGTTTTTCGTCCGCTATTATTTTTCAAAAGTTATAGAAAAAAAAAAAATTCAAGTAGTAAATTTCACGAGGCGACAGGAATAACTACGACTAAAATATTTTCCGTACATGCGTTGTATTGTCTTTTGATTAGGGATAAAAATGGAATGGGACAAAACGAGACAGGACAAAATATGGATGCTGGTCATGTATTAGTGGGTAGACCTTGACAATATGATGTGAATGTGACATATAGGGGCAGAGACAATATTTATTCGGAAGGTCACAATTTCCATAGTTCCTTCGAAGAGTTGAGAGTTAAAATATCTTCATTTTTCACCAAATATCTCACACTAGAATTAAATTATCAGAAAAATGCCGAATAATTTTCTTTCTTTAAAAAAAAAAAATCAAACAAAAAAAAAAAAATCAAAAAAAAAAGAAAGAAAAATGAATGATAGCGGTGGGGCCCGCATGACAAATCGGCTTCGAAACGCGTCTTCATAAAGTTGACTTTTGAATATTCAAACTCCCAAAAGAAAAAGGAATTTTGTAGGGGGACATGGCCAATCTGTCCTTTGACATTTTCTTAGATGATGATTACTGCTTCTATAATTTGCTTAATTTATAAGTACGTACTTAGATTAATTAATTTAATTAATATTTATTATCTTGTATTAAAAGACTTCATACAAAGTAAACGAAGAAGTTTTCGACGTCTTGCAATTTTCTACTTCCTTGGGACTTAATTATTCAAATTAATTGACTTCAACATTTTGAAGAAATAAAAAATAGTGGAGACATCATACATGCATGTATAGTGCCCTCTCACGACTCCTACCGATGATCGATGAATTCTTCATATTATTATTATTATAACGAGAAGATCGTCATTGTTTCAAGAGGTGCATTTATTACGTCGTATTTTAATTATCTTAAACGTTCTAATTTTTATCATTATCGCAATTATTTTTCTAACTTTTTTTTTTCTTTTTGCTTCACATTTTTTTTTTTTTTAATATTTNTTATTATTATTATAACGAGAAGATCGTCATTGTTTCAAGAGGTGCATTTATTACGTCGTATTTTAATTATCTTAAACGTTCTAATTTTTATCATTATCGCAATTATGTTTCTAACTTTTTTTTTGCTTTTTGCTTCACATTTTTTTTTTTATCAATCTTTCATTTTCCTAATGAAAATTATTTGCTCTTCATATTATTAAATAAAAAAAACAAGAAATAACAAAGTTTGACAAAATATTGCCTTTCATTTTAAAGAACGATATTAGAATATTACCGTACAACACGTACTAGAAGTTACGTGGATGTCCCTTAACAAATCTATTTGGGAAAAAAAAAAAAACTCGAAATTCTAATGGGAAAATGTTCCGAAGGGAGAGGAAACCTGGCCCAGTAATCACTTGATAAAAAAATTATTTATTTTAGGTAAATACTATAGTTTAATTATTTATTATTATCTCAAATGTAGATGACCTAACGATGATCACTTCTCTATATATTTTAGATACTTATTAATTTAGGTTTGATTATTACATGTTAAATATTATCTCAAAGGGATGTAGACATAAAAAAATAATTAGAGGTGACGTTATTTCCACGTATCATTGAATATAAATGCTAATTTTATCATCACAAGTTTATAATTATGATCGTTGAAGTCAAAAATATAGACTGAAAAAAATACGAAATAAAAACTTCGTTACGGTAATCGAAAGTTAATTGACTACTCTAGTCTCTAGTAGACATAAACCCAATATTTTACCCCATAACCATACATTTTTATCATGGGATAATACATTGGGTTCATAGTATGTTGAGGGCTCTTTTGTCATTTTCACTACTAGTACGTGTTCCATTAGACTCACATTTTCGTACGTATCGACCTTTGTTTAATAAAAATGTTCTATGTCATCCTTTGATCTCGAAAGTTTCAATAACGTTATCCACAATTCGATCTGCCTTTTTTCTAAAAGAGCATATTGCCGTTTTATCATGCTTTATCCATAGTACATCGATGGTTCTTTGTCATTGTCACTACTAGTACCTTTCCTTTCGACTCGACATTTTTGCACCCTTGTTCAATCAAAATTTTGTCCAGTATACAAAATTGTTTTGCTGTTTGAAATAGTAGGTTTAGGACTTTTGTAGTACAATGTCACGACAAAATTAACCGAATTATAGTTATTTTCGTTTGAATTTTCCACTTTTTAAAGATGTACCAAACTCCCAACTCCTATAGAAACATCATACACATGTGAGATATACAGAGACACGTAGTACACATACATACAGAGGCGACGACTTTTGGTTGATTGCTTGTACAGTCGACTCACCGCCCTCTTTGACTACCGGTAATGGCGAAATTCTTCTTAAAAAGCTGTATGAGAACTCGTCAACACCCTACCCACCTCATTTTTTTACTCTTTTCTCTCTCTATTTCTGCATATACAAATTCGTACATGTGTGTGTAATTGTGTGTATATATAGTCACAGGCCAACCTATTGTAATAGTTCATCTAATTAGTTCTGAACCAATAATAGTTCTGAACATTTATTGGTTCAAACATGGATTCTAAGTATATTTGTCTTTTGATTTTAGTGGGTCTTTCGAGTGCTTTGAGGAGTGAAGGATTTGGGACTTTTGGGTTCAATATACACCACAGGTATTCGGATTCCGTGAAGGATTTTTTGAACCTTGATGGGTTGCCGGAGAAGGGTTCGCTTGATTACTACGCCGCCATGGCTCACCGCGATCAGCTCATCAAGGCACGCCGCCTTGCCGCCACTCCAGCTGATTCTACCCATCTCAGTTTCTTTGGTGGCAACGTGACTTTCCAATTCAGTTCTCTGGGATTGTATGTTTTCCCTTTTATTTTGCTTCTAGTTTCTGGTTTTATCAATTCATGGATGATTATATTGATGATGTTATTCTTTAGTTTAGTCTTTGTTAATTTTAGTTACTTTAATTTTGGGATTTAGCAATTGTATAGTTTCTTCAAGCGCGCACCCGAATTCGTTCTTTATGAAAAGGCTAACACAAGGAAAAAATTTCATGAATTCTCTTTCTAAACAATTTTAGCCTGAATTATCCTAGCTAAGATGTGAGAAATTAATTAGGGGCGATCCTGCAATCTATACAGACCCCATGAAGCTAAGGGCTAATTCTACAAGTTTCTGTTTGTGTCTTCCAAGGTTGAGGTGTAATAAATGCTTATTCTCATTGTCCTTGTTTATTTACTTGAAACATTTTGATATTCATCTGACAAATGATTTTTGCATCTGTCTCTCCCGCAACCTGTTCTTGAACATTTATATCAGTTTCCCTTTTTCTTTTTTTTCTTTTTGATGTAAAATTTGTTCCTGTAAATTGCAGCTTGCACTATGCAATTGTTACTGTAGGCACTCCTCCTTTAACATTTCTCGTGGCACTTGACACCGGCAGCGATCTGTTCTGGTTGCCATGTGATTGTACCAACTGTGCACGTAGCTTGAACTCAACCTCGGGAAAGGTATGTTAATTATCTAAAAGTATGTTGAATTTGTGGACATATGTTTTTTGCTTTATAGTTTACCCTAAGAACCTGCTCTAAGTATTATTTCACATCTACCTTCTTATTCTTATTCTCATTTAATTTTCTTTTTTGGGAAACAGGCCATAAAACTGAATATATACAGCCCTAGTAATTCATCGACAGGCGTACCTGTTCCGTGCAACAGTACTACGTGTGGACAGAGAAGACAATGCTCAATTAGACGTAATGCTTGTGCTTATCAAGAGGTATATCTTTCCAGCAACACCTCGTCTACAGGGATATTGGTAGACGATGTTTTGCACTTGGCTACGGATGACAGTCAAGAAAAAGTTGTTGATGCCCCAATTACATTAGGGTGAGTACGATCTTTTCCGAGGACTAATTCCCTTGTAAAATGTGATCTATCTCCAATGTTGAACTAACAAAATGCAAGAAGATTGAGTTGACTGGTTAATATGGATTGTCGTATCTTCCAGAGTAAAGCTGCATCTTCAAAAATTTCTCGATTTTTTAACGTCTTTGTATAGTGTAACATTGCTTTTGGAAGTAGATGGTAGTGAATCCATAGTTAACATTCCTATGAATTTTAGTATGTTTTTGAAACAATGAGCATGTTGGGAGTTTTCTTGAAGTTGATAAAATATTAGTTCGTGAGAAAATGCCACTTGCTAGCACGTCTTCGTGTATTTCTTATCATTGTTTTAAGAGTATAACCCACAAAACCACTTGCAAAGGATTTTCTGGTTATGCATTTTATAATTGCCATATAATGTAATTACTTTTTTCCATTTCAGCTGTGGAATTGTTCAAACTGGTGATTTTTTGGATGCTGCTGCTCCTAATGGTCTTTTTGGGCTTGGTATGGATAGCGTATCCGTCCCTAGCATTTTAGCCAGCAAAGGGCTTGCAGCAAATTCTTTCTCCATGTGTTTCGGGCCTCATGGAATTGGAAGAATGGTTTTCGGTGACAAAGGGACTCCATCCCAAAAAACAACACCATTCAATCTTAAACAATCGCAGTAAGCTTTTGGTCTTTCCTATGCATAATATGGACAGAATTACGCTTTTCATTCTCTTTCCGTTCTGGTTTCTTACCCTCATTTTAAATCATTTTCCGAGTTTCTACCAGCCCAACTTATAATATCACTGTGGCACAAATAATTGTGGGAGAGAATGCCACTAATGTTGAGTTTTCAGCAATTTTCGACTCTGGTACCTCATTTACATACTTGAATGACCCGGCTTACTCAGTTATTGCCAAGGGGGTAAGTTTATAAGATTTATGATCTTTTCCTGGATATCATAATGTTTACCTGTGCAAGTCAGAAATGTTCTTTTCTTGCAGTTTGATTCTCAAGTATCCGAGCCACGTTATCAACCAGAAACTCAGATCATTTTTGACTATTGCTATGCATTAGGGTAAATTAATTTTGGATACAAACCTTATTTCGACCACTCACTTTTATCATGAACCTGAAGGACTCAATATCTCCCTTGTTGCAGTGCGAACCAAAAGAGCTTCAACTATCCTCATTTGAACTTGACTATGAAAGGCGGAGACCAATTTTATGTTAATGCACCTGTAATTGTAATTCCTCGTCAGGTAGGGTTCTACTAGTGGATCAATGTACGGAAGTTTTATCTTGGGAGGTGCTAACATCTTCCTATGACCTGCAGGGTGGATATGCATATTGTTTGGCTATTGTCAAAAGTGAAGATGTTGACATTATTGGACGTGAGTGTCATGGTTATGAATTCATTCGTTGCTATATTTCGAGTTTTTACCCTGCATGAATTTCGATTAATATGTCAGTGCCATTCTGCTAAGGGTTTAAATATTTGATGGGCAAGCGAATAATTTATTAATTTTTCAATCATGCTACATGAACATCAAGGTTGACATAAAGCCCCTGACAAAATGCACGTGACATTCTATCATTGAATAGTTTAAAACACAGTCAGATTTTCCATTTAGTCATCTATTGTCACGTGCAATTATGTCAAGCTTTGTCAGGTCTTTCTAGCAAAATAGCTTTATCCTTAATTTTTTTATTTATCGGGTGCCTTCCTCCCTACCATTTTCTGTTGCTTTTAATGGAGATAATGCAGATAGAGGCACGCTGTTGGAAATTTAACCTAGATATCTTCTGGTGGAATTTGATTTAGTACTAAATTAGAACATCATTGGGTTTTTACTATCTGTTTTGATACTTTGCATGCGAGTTGTATATATAACTGATAATTGATTCGTTCATTTCTGCCCAGAAAATTTTATGACTGGCTACCGCATAGTTTTTGATCGCGAGGAAAACATTTTGGGTTGGACAGATTCTGACTGTGAGTAGTCTCTTTTCGTCTCTTCATTGCGTGTGTGCGAGTTTTCCCCAGGCATTTTTTTCCATTATAATGCACTTCTGAGTTGAAATGCATATTTTGATGTCAGGCTATGATTCCAAGAATGGATCAAATACTCTACCAGTGAACAAGTCAACTGAAGCTCCCACGCCTTCCAATTTGGATCCGCAAGCCACACCCGGAAATAGAACTCGTTCTCCAGAAATTTCATCACCTCCACCATCGTCGCCAACTGGTCCGACCAGGCCACCTTTCGGGAATAGTGCATCCCGCTTGAGTTCCATTTCATGCAAGCTTGTCATGGTTATTTTTGGCATTTTTAGCCATTACTTGATCATTCTTTCTTGATAAGTTATATCACCCTTGTATATTATGAGTTAGTAACACGAGGAATATTTGTTTACCACACATCACACGTAATTTAAAAGCATTATAGCAATTTCTTTTTTTTATTTATTAATACGAACTCATTTGATGGAGACTGTAATGACTATTTACTTTGACGTTTTGTCAAAATTGAACACTTATTTTAGATATGGAAATGAAAAATCCATTGTGACATAATTTTTATTTATTTATTTATTGCGTAATCTAAATTAATGATTAATATATCCATTAAAAAGTTATCTAATTAACTAACTTTTTTTCCTTCCTGAAGGAAAAAAGTGACCTTTGCGTATCTTATTAAAGTCTTTCATATTTTCATAAGAAAAATCATCTGGAAATACAATAAAACATCCCCAACTTTGAAAATTTGATGGTTTCCTACTAAGATAGAACTATGCAACGATGCGCAAAAATAGAAGTTGCACAAACAAAAATAGAAAAGGGGATTAAAGAGATAAAAGCAAGTAGGCAGGCACCACCAAAATGAAACAAAGTTGAGTTTAAGCTCGCTAAGGAAGACAGGATGGTACGGAGCGCCAGCACGAGCACGAGCATGTTCAATTCCGACTTTTAGAGTCTAATGGGTTCTTCCGACCATTCTACAAATCCTGTCATATAATCCTGCCCGTGTCGTTCTATCTGCAACTGCAAGAGAAAGCACAAATAGTCAAACTTTCACAGCCAGAACTATTTATTATATGTGGCCAATTGAATCAATAGCATGTTCCAAATTCTGGGATAGTTAGAATAACTAGAACTATTGCTATGCACGAATATAGACCAGACGATATTTGAGCAAAAGAACCAAGAGAACAACACATTATATACAAATTGAAAGCATTGATTCTCAATGCACATTTCAAATTTCATGTACAAGTGCATACATGCGAAATGAAATTAAGCAGTTGACCAAGTAAGTCATATGAAGAAATAAATGGAAGGTGAATGTGTAATTCTTTATATACAGTTCTTTTCAACATACCAAGTTGAGGTTTTTGACCAGAGACAACTCAACCAGTTCAGAAACTACTTGGTTGTCTTTTTTTAGCAACTCCTTCAAAAATCCCATCTACTCCAAAAACAGCTTTTACTTGCTGATGATCAATTGGCCCTGGTAGCTGGAATGAGATGGAGAATTCACCAGGTGGACACAAATTTTGTGATAGCATGACAAATTCCATGTTCTTCTTCTTAACTGTTTGTTCGCCAGTTGATGTAATACCCTTAATTATCACCTTCCCATCAGGTTCAAAATCACAAGTGAAAGTGTCTGCAGTAAAAGAGAGAATAATAGCATGAATAAACGTCAGTGAATATGTACCTTTTAGCCTCATGATACATAAAAAAGAAATAAATAGAAGATAATATTTGTAACTTCAAAAACATTTCCGTTCTTCACAGCATGAAACAGTAATATTGCCATATTGGTAATTATAAGTAGGTCATCAATTTATAAACAGGTGTGAGTTTAATACTATGCAATATAAGCATCATAAATCATCTTTCTATTGTATAAACAGAGCCTTTGGTCATAAATAGTATTACAACGAAGCTATACTCAAAGAACCTCAGATACAAACTCAAATTCCCGGCATATGTCAGGCATAGCTGCATAAGTTATCTTATCACAACTAGAATGCAACACACTTCAATCAGGTTGATGTAAGCGACAGATTTAAGCCTATTCTATGATAGATAAACAAAGCTAAAATACAAAATACTGAACTGCTATATAGTCATCATGCCCTTATGAGATATAAGTTTGGGTAGCAACTAATGCATAAGAGTTTAGTAACAATAATGCCAGCATATTCTAGGTTTTGTAACATTGCATCACACATATTATTCACATAAAACTCAGATTTCTGAATAAACATTTTAGAATTTGGCTTACTGGCCCTAATTAATCGAATATTCTTGGGCTTCTAGTAGTTCTTTTAGGTTAATTTATAGGACCTAGATAACTTTTGTTTGTTTCCTTACTCCTTAAGTCCTGCATATTAAATGACAAAAGACAACTAATGGAAGAGATATACATTTCACAGGACTATCCCTTTTACAGCCTGGAGAAAATACAGCCTCATATCATCAGTTTTTACAACATCTTAGTTCATAACTTCAAATAAGAAAGATCTTAACTTAATTTTACAATATTTACTTCCTTCAATATTCAAGTGTGAATGTGATTCTACTTTCCGAGCACATAACACAAATATCATGGGATAAAGACTTCTGGGGTCTATACTCTTCTGCAGCAGGTCAATGGTGTCACTTTTTTCAACAAATATAAACCAAGTAAATGCCTTTACCTTGGAGTGAATTTTAGATTTTCATATGAAGAAGAAGATGTGTGAAGTGGAAACGAATCACATAGGAGGATAACTACTTATAGAAAAAGAATCGAAACTATAGAAGATTAACTACTAAGAAGAAAAATATTGAAACTATAGAGTCAAGTACTACGATGAGGTAAAGAAAGATGAATGCACTCTACGATACACCAACATCCTCCTGGCGCTGGCGTGTCTGTGTCTGACACGTGTTGGACACGGACACGATCACGATACCAACACATCATTGACATTTGTCCATACATTGTCAATACATCAAATTAACAAAAAACAAATGTACTTTACAATAGAAAATATAAAAACATAAAACATAAAGATAAAAATTAACATTATTTTAATCAGGGTGTCGAGAATGCTGATTGTCAGGACTTCTTTGAATAATTGTGTGATGGTGTGTCCGTGTTGTATCTTGTCCGACACTCGTGTCCTTATAGGTCCTTCCTATAAAGCAGTATGTCATTTATATAGCCTAGAAAGTAGAAAATATCTATATGATTTTTACAATAGTCCATGAGTTGAAATAATAAAGTTATTTCGAAAGAATATTCTTACATTTTTATGATATCTTAGTCCTTAAAAAACAAACACATATAAGTTAATCTTAACCTTGTTGAGAAGGAACAAGATTACGACACCACTTAGGGATTCATGTGTATGATATTATACAAATTTGAAACATTGGAGCATTTTTCACATATATGATATTTATCACATTCTTAGTAGTCCACCTATATAAATTATATCTTATTTTTGAGAGTAAAAGTAGGAGACAAATGACCATTTGGCATTAAGTCCACTAGTATTAGCTGAATATATGAACCATGCTATTTTGTTTGGTTCATTGATCCCTACTCCCTTTTAGATCACCTTAATATTAATTTTTCTTTTGGCATCAAAGGAAGGAATTTATTAGGGCAATTAAAATATGTTGATTGGGCCAGCTCAACTTTGATTCTTCTATTGTAAGATTTTGATAAATGCATTTCATTTTGTACATTTTATATTTGTCTTGTCTAGAATATTAGTAACATAGGAAACAATGAATTATTTTGCATATTTCCACTTAGTGCAGGACTATATTTCCAATTCATGTTATCCTATTTGGATGTTAAGTTATCATGCATACTGTCAAAAAACCTAATCACTGATTTAATTTGATTTTCTTCAACCACTCGAATAACTACATGATTACCAAAGGTGTCCTGAATGCTTTGATTCTTACCGTTCAAGTTTAAACACTTCAATTAATAATATGTGTGCAACATGAGATGAGATAGATCACTCATGTTCGGGCATATATGCAGTGACAATATAGAGTTAAGAATAAAATGGGGAACAGAGGTGATTAAATTTGGATTCTTATATATTAGATGCATTATTACATGTATCAATCTCATTAACTAATTTCCGAAAAGAAAACAAAAAAGCACAATCAGCAGTGGGTAAACATGACTGTTCGAATTTTATAAGATACTGAAATATGATTGAATAGATGCTAGTCAAACATGAAACTTACCTTGAACGCTAGAAACACCCGGTAGCGCTACACGAAATACATATTTATCCTCAGATTCACCAACATCTACAGCTCCAATAGGTGGTCCCATCTTTCCCGATGCAGCACTTCCAGATAGTACAATTCCACTTCTGGTAGCAGCTAAAATATTGTTCCACTCTTCATTAGTTGTACAAGAAGGCATAAACACCATAGCAGGGTGGTTACCAATGGGAGGCTTAAAATTAACTTGTGGTGATGGAATGCTATCTATATCTATTGGTGTTGAAGCAGAGCCAGAAGGTGGACCAGAGTATGGAACACAATTAAGAGGAGGAACATCAAGTACATGAAACTGAGGCCGTAATCGCCTCGTGCCATTATTTGCACTATTTTGCGTCCAAGCTGAGTTAGGAGTTCTGAAAATTCAGTTAGGCATTGATAAATCAGAATCCATGGGAAAAATATGACTACTCCGAAAGAAACTTCTTACTTCCCAAACAAACATTTAATATCAGATAAATATTATCATATCACAGCTACAGCATAGATATGAATAAAGATATTTTACACAAGCACAGAGTGTAGTCACAGAAAGTAATTTATACAATATGCCCATTAATTCATTATGTAGCATAGAACAATGCTCCAGCATAGGATTGCACATGAAATAATATAACATTCATTATGTTGCTATCAAAGATAATGAGATACTATTCTAAGTTTCACTGGAGAAAAATATATGTGGTCATCACTCTCAATTAGCAAAGATAATAAAGTCTATATCTGCAATAAAAGAAACAAATGCAACATCGACAACTGTTAAGATTAGTATTTGCAATACATGGTTAAGAATTATTTGATCATAACAAACATATTCTAGAAATGAAGTTAGTTTATGCCGACCAAACTTGTAGAAACAAGGTCAAACGTCTAAATTAAGACAAACAGAGAAAGGGAGAACTCGAGACAAGGAGATCGGACTTAATTTATCTGAAGTAGTTGAGGACAGACAAGGAGATAGTTCAGATGACTGATTGGACAAAAGTACCTGTAACAAGAGGAGATTACATGTGTGTTGTCGTCCAGGGTACTAGATGATAATGGAAGAACAAATGCTGACATATGAGATCAGACAAAGGAATATAAGTGCAATTAGAAGTTCAAACATGCGAAGGTGGAGAATGACATTTGAAGTGAAGTTAATTAAATAATGAAGTTTCTTCCTCTCCACCAACCATGGTGATTCATTTTAGATCTTTCACATAGTAAAAGGATTTCATGTCGTTTATGTGTGCGTATGGTGCATATGGAATGAAAGGAACAACCACTGTTTTGAAGACAAGACAAGATCAAATGAGCAGTTTAGAGAATTATTTTATTTAACCTTGTATAGTTGGTTCAATATAGCATCTCCTAATCATATAAAAGAGTTGCCTAATTTCATGTCGTTTATGTGTTGTCTAAACTGATAATACATTCCCCATGTATTTATTATCTTTTGATGAATAAAATTTTCAGATTACTTATCAAAAANAAAAAAAAAAAAGATTTCATGGAAGTAAATCTTACTTTAGAGATCCAATGGCTGCTTTCAGAGACTTCAGAAGTCCAAAGGCCTCAATATTTGAAAATGAGACGGAATAGTACACAACCGCAAAACTCTTTCCTCATAATGGAACATGAATTGCATACTAACGTTGAATAGTGTTCAATTCAGGAAAACAGCTATATTCAGCTTATTGTTAGTAATTTCATGATAATTATTGAAAATTTGATAAGTGGATTTGAATTAAATTTATGGATATAACTATTTGAACAAACGATATTGAAGCCAAGTAGTGTGGCTGATTTTGTGACGAATGAAGAGAGAAGAAAAAGAGAAAAGATAGCATACGTAATACGTGTGAGTCATATTCTAAGAAAATGAAAATGAAGAAAGATCAGCTAAATTGTAAGGGGAAAAAAATATCATTCCATACTCATTTTTTCAGCAGCCACTGAGATCATTGAGCAATATCTAGCTAGTCGTTCGACCTGTGATTCTGAGATCTAAAATTTGTTAAATCTACCTATTAACGGCTTTTCGTAAGCTAAACGAGATGACGTAAGTATTCCTAGACATTTTGATGTTCACAAATTTCTAGAAGAACTTGAGCTGTTGTTGTTCTGTCGTTAGCTTATGTACAATGTGTTGTGAATTGTAAACTCTCAAACAGATGCTCTGAAGAGAAAATATAGGATCAGCTAATCTGAATACCACAAGAACATGTTCTGGTGGGGGCTTATTTTGAGATTATAAAAAGGTTTAAAGTCACAAGCCTAAAAACACTAGCACTTATATATTTACAAACAAATACAGTAACAAACACAAATGACCATATCCAATACACTACATGAACATACAGGAAATCTAGACATCATTTTGTCATAATTCATCAAATCAAGATTTAACTTTTACCTCCTCCCTCCCTCACCATGACCACCACCACCACAACCCACCCAAAAAATAAATAAACAATAAAAAATAGAAAGCAATCGACTGAAAAATAAATTAGCAACTCTAATTTAAGATGCAGCATTTTTCATTTATCAAGAAACTACCCTTTTCAGGGTAAAATCAACAGATGAACTACTAAATGCAAAACAAAAATTAATCGGCATAAAATGTGTTTGAAATCGAACAATAACTAACCTCGGAATTGACGAAGAAGACATCGAAGAGCTGCTGAACAAGAGTCAAGGGTTCAAACTTAAAAGATTTCAATATAGGCAATTCGACTCATTTGAGGTGTGTGTATATATACATACAGATGTTAATTCTCCGATGAATTACAAAAATAGAGTAAGAGCGGTGAGAGCTTATGGAGTGGCTGCCCCCGGATTTGAAAATATTTCTGAAGGTTTCTGAACTATGTTCGTTTCTCTAGAATAGAAATTTTACTTTTTTTTTTTTTCTTAAAATATCATTTCCACGTTTAAATATTCAAAAATTCGAACTAACAAATTGAGGAAATTAATGTATATACTCGGCAGAAGATGAAAAATAGTAAATTTAAGTGTACGGTACTCAAGCAATCTAGAGTTAGATGCCTTTTCAATAATTAATATAGCAATTAGTCTTTAAAAGAAATTTCTTATATAATTGCCAATGTAATTACACTCAAAATTCTGAAAGAAATTAAGATGATTATAGTTTAGACGAAAACCCTAATAGCATTACTGTCGGTGATCATTGATACATCTTCGTCAACGATTATCAACGACAATATTGTTGATGATCATGGAGTCCCAGTCATGGTCGAAGGGAGTTGGGACTTTCACCATCAAATTGCATACTTGTGAATCGTTAGACATTGAAGTGACAACAATTAGGAATTGAGAGATTAGAGTAAATCCTATCGAGAGGAGAGATCAAATGAAAGACCCGTCGGAGAATTCTTCGATCCCCTAGGGTGGCGCTCAATGAAGCCCATGTAATTTGCTCTATTGATTTTACCTAAAATAATTTAAATGTTATTGAACCAAAGTATTTTTATGCAATCTAGGCTGCCTAATAGTTCTTTGAATCAGTCCAAAAAAATTGTCTTTCATATTATAAATATTCAGATTCACAGTGCGAAGAATGTAAAGCTCATTAGGGGAAAGATAATCCAGCCAATCAAGAAATGGAGCCAAGAAAGCAACGCACCAAGTCAAATCCCAGCCCCAGAGCACAGGAAAAAGTATGGACATACTGATACTCATAATCAATTTGATAGATGCTACAAGTACGACTTTCATTCAGATATGAATAGTTGGATCTTCTCATTCTACATGATTCCCACATTCACGTTGAAATCATAACGACCAATATATGATCTAATGATTCTAAGCTTATACTCTACTATTTGCTCTCATTTGGAATCGAACTATCCCCGAAACACAATATTACTAAATGTTAGTTTTCTCATCTATTAGAAATCCATTTTCAATATCCTTGAGTTTTGTTATCTTTCTATAATCAATTTGGTTCCTATATGTGTGCATGCTTAAATTTAGCAATTTAATAAACTAATGGTTCTCTCACTTTGATGATATTTTGCACAATCTTTGGTAACCATTTGCCACTTCAGCATATGAAATGCCATTTTTGGCATGCCTCAATTTTCTTGGTAGGTGGATGGCTATGATTAGCAAAATGGAAAACTTTAGCAAAATATGTGGTGCCCTTTAAATAGACTTCTTTAGATTAGACCATAATAAATTTTCAAGATTTTCAGACAATACCACTGGATTTTTCAGATAATGAGATATTTTTAACAACTAAAATTAATGATAGAGTTAAGAGGATATGTACAGTAAAATGATTCAAAATGCTTCAGATGCTCATTTACAGAGTAAAAGAGAATATGATAACAATTAAATATACAAGCTCTGTCACTGATTGTTCCTTATGGTGGAGTTTTAATTGCTTATTTTCTTGTTTGGCTTCTCATAATACTAGAATCATGATGAACTCTTAATCTGGGGTTTTAGGAGCAAAACCTTGTACTTAATTTTCTTCCAATTGATGTAATATGTTGTAGTAGAAGTCTAACTTTGGGAAATTTTCAACAAGCTAAATATACACTTCTTGATTGGCCTAGTGGTCTAGGTATTCATGATACCCCCATTTTGTGGCCCTTTGAACCTCAAAAGAAATTATGTATGTGATTTTTCGTTCTGCAACGAAAAAAGCAAAAAGGTTACGATGCCTCTAAAAGTATCTTGTAACGTAATTAGTTCGTGCTGCTTTTCAATCTTTTCTACTAGATTATGCCGTCTAAGGATTGACAACTAATCCACATAGTTGTGTTTCGGAAAGAAAAACTTAAATTGGGCTTCTCAATTGTTCAATTAGCGCGATTTCATGTTTTTAATCTTTAGAAGTGAAGTATTGAGTTTTCAATCTATTTAAATTCGTAAAACTGAATTTTTATGTGGTAAAAACTGTCAATGTTGCAACTTTCATGCAACTTTGTGTACGAATTCAAATTTCAAAATTTACGAGTCAAACATCAAGAAAATTTTTAAGGTGACTGTTGGTGAAAATTTTCCAAATTTAATTGGTTGAAGAAGGAATTGAATCCTTGATCCGGTCATGCTGCTGATGCGTGGTAATATGAACTTTTGCCATTCTTAACTATGGTGATAATATGTGACAAAATTGCATCAAGAAAATGTCATAAACCAGACCCAAAAAAAATACTATAAAAAATAGCTCGTTGAGAATGATTCTGAACTAGTAAGAATTGCACCATATATTTCACTAAGACTATATACTGTAAGATATGTTACCCTTCGATACAATCAGATTAACTTAAAAAATTGAAGTGACTTGCCTAAGAATTAAGGCAATAGTTTGAGCTAAGAATTAACTAGTTCATGAAGGATAACTTCAAAAGTAGGAAATCTGTAAAACCAATCTGTTTCTTCGAATTCATCATATCGTTGAATGTAGGTGGCCCTCCAAGCGTGAGAATTCATCCCCTTTCCAATACTTGATTAGACCATAATAAATTTTCAAGATTTTCAGACAATACCACTGGATTTTTCAGATAATGAGATATTTTTAACAACTAAAATTAATGATAGAGTTAAGAGGATATGTACAGTAAAATGATTCTTAGGGTGTGTTTGGTAGGGATTTTTGGGGGAAGAATTGATTTTTGAATCTTGATATGATGGGAAATATGTGGTTGAAAAAGTAGAAAAAAGTATTGATGTGATGAAAAATATTATTTTATTGAAAAATGTGTGGTTGAAAATGAGAATTGATTTACTGTAGAAAATGAGAATCTGTACCAAACATGCCCTTAATGTTCCAAAATGCTTCAGATGCTCATTTACAAAGTAAAAGAGAATATGATAACAATTAAATATACAAGCTCTGTCACTGATTGTTCCTTATGGTGGAGTTTTAATTGCTTATTTTCTTGTTTGGCTTTTCATAATACTAGAATCATGATGAACTCTTAATCTGGGGTTTTAGGAGCAAAACCTTGTACTTAAAATTCTTCCAATTGATGTAATATGTTGGAGTAGAAGTCTAACTTTGGGAAATTTTCAACAAGCTAAATATACACTTCTTGATTGGCCTAGTGGTCTAGGTATTCATGATACCCCCATTTTGTGGCCCTTTGAACCTCAAAAAAATTTATGTATGTGATAATTCGTTTTGCAACGAAAAAAGCAAAAAGGTTGCGATGCCTCTGAAAGTATCTTGTAACGTAATTAGTTCGTGCTGCTTTTCAATCTTTTCTACTAGATTATGCCGTCTAAGGATTGACAACTAATCCACATAGTTGTGTTTCGGAAAGAAAAACTTAAATGGGGCTCCTCAATTGTTCAATTAGCGCGATTTCATGTTTTTAATCTTTTAAAGTGAAGTATTGAGTTTTCAATCTATTTAAATTCGTAAAACTAAATTTTTATGTGGTAAAAACTGTCAATGTTGCGACTTTCATGCAACTTTGTGTACGAATTCAAATTTCAAAATTTACGAGTCAAACATCAAGAAAATTTTGAAGGTGACGGTTGGTGAAAATTTTCCAAATTTAATTGGTTGAAGAAGGAATTGAATCCTTGATCCGGTCATGCTGCTGATGCGTGGTAATATGAACTTTTGTCATTCTTAACTATGGTGATAATATGTGACAAAATTGCATCAAGAATCGATGAGAATGTGATTCTGATCTAGTAAGAATTGCACCATATATTTCACTGAGACTATATACTGTAAGAAATGTTACCCTTCGATACAATCAGATTAACTTAAAAAATTGAAGTGACTTGCCTAAGAATTAAGGAAATAATTTGAGCTAAGAATTAACTAGTTCATGAAGGATAACTTCAAAAGTAGGAAATCTGTAAAACCAATCTGTTTCTTCGAATTCATCATATCGTTGAATGTAGGTCGTCCTCCAAGCACGAGAATTCATCCCCTTTCCAATACTTTAAACGGAGAATTTCGCAATGATTAGGCTTACACCCATGAAAACGATGTAAAGGCCAACAAGACAGAACCCCCAGAATCGTGGAACTCGAAATCTGTGCCAAGTTACGACCAACAAGGATCCCATCAAGCTCAAGAGCAAGAAGACAAACGCCACCACTATACTCAAGTGGAAATGGAGCATGTAAGCTTCGGGATAAACATTAGCGGTCTGTATCACCAAAGCTGTTCCGAGTCCAAAAAGCATGTTGAACATAGGCCCTGCAAAGCACCCAGCCATGGCCATGGCCGGCTGCCCAGCTTTAGCAACCGCCACATCCGCAACAAGATCCCCAACTGAATTTCCCCAAGCAAGCACTGTCAATCCAAGAAGTGCCGGTGACAATTCCAAAAGAACTCCAAGTGCTACAAGGCAATTTAGAAGTTCCCCAGCCGCAGAGGAAATCCAGAATACGCTCATGACAAATGCCACGACCACTACAGGAATTTGCTCAGTTTTAGGGGGCTCTTTTTCGACAATGTAATGTAGAATTGCTAAAGAGCCGCTTCCACAGAGTACCACCAACCAAAGAGGAAAATGGCTGTTAGGAAAAAGAAACATAATTGGATGATCTAGAGGCACAAGTGATTTGCAGGAATATAATAGGGCGAGTGGACACAGAGCAATGTTGGCTGATTGATAGAATCTGCTCCATTCAGATGGTGAAATTTGTGGGATAGTGAGTTTTAGAAGTACTGAGACTGGAACTTCCCATGCTTGTGGAATCTGTGGAAAAGAAAGATAGAATCACGTTAAACTCCAATATTTGCAAATACATAACAATATCAGCAGCTGATAAACAGTACTTGAATCTTCTGCGAATGACATATTTCCGACTTCCGTACCATTACCCACTCGTAAAATTTGATAACTAATTTCTGATAAAAATACAATCCCCCCTCTCTCTTGATTAATCTTAAGATCTTTTCGGGGAACAAAATGTTCACTTATTCAATTAAAACAAAGGCCTCATGAATGTGAGCACTTGTACACAATCTCATTGCCATTAAGTCAACCAATCTTGTCTGGCAGCACTACCAAAAAAAAAAAAAGGAAGTAAAGCACACCAAGAATTACTTTATGAGCACGTTGCTTCAGTTCTATTTCAATCCAAAGACATTCAGCACACAAGGAAATGTATCTTGGTTCATCATAAGCTGACGACCAAGAAAAGTACCTCTATCATCACACTGGGGGGAAAAGTCAATCTGTTAATCAATTTGTAAGACCAGGTAAGGTTAACGTTTTCCGCTGGAGACCTTCATCTATGGAACTATTTGAAAACTGGATGATTTCAGCATATTGTAACCCACTAGCTGATACGGATTTCAAAAACCAAGCACTGTCAATCATCAAGGCAGCAAAACCAACTTAAAAACTAGAGCGACTAAAGATTATATCGTAACAAGTAGCAGCAAAACTCCCTTTACAAGGCATAGAAAATATTATCCAAACGTGAGAATTAAGGGCTTATACTGCATAGCAGTGTCTGAACATCCTATATTACCAGAGAATTAAGGACTTCTACTACATAGCAGTATCTGGAACATCCTTTATTACCTGCATCGCACCCCGTTTGACCCTTAACTTTACTCCTGGGGGAATTAAGAATATCTATACGGTTTCAAATATAATCCCCATTCCCAAAGTCTCTCGTAAGCATTCCGCATATGCTGGAATTTTGAAATAATAGAAAGGCGTATATGTAAGAATGTGTATTGGTGGTGTAGCAAATAAGGAATGAAGTCGGTAGTATGTTATATATAAGGAGTGAAAGAATCTTCATGCAAAGTTTGATTTGGCTTACAGTAGAGATTTTGATGCTGCTAGTTATGGTGGTGCTTATTGATTAACATACCTTTGAGCTTATCCATAATTGCTCATACGAAGAGAAATTTTATTCGACAATTGATTAGTCCAACAACTAAGGAACTGTCTCTATTTTTATTACAGTTACATCAAGTGCCGCTTATCTTCAGCACACAAAAAGCATAAATGCAGGATAACAAGCATCGGAAACCCCTAGAAGGCTAACCTATCTATTTCCATATGCCCCGGATCAATATGCAAGAATTTGTTCAATCCTCACCGGAATAATGCAAGAAGCCAAGATTTTTTTGGAAATCAGTGTTTAATTCACATGTTCTGATCATAATCATAACATATGGAAAAACAAACATAAAAAGAAAATCGTAGCAATACATCAGTCTCAAGTATAATTTGATGGCTCGGTCATGTTTAGGAAACAGGCACCAATTGATAGTCAACTTGACAATGCATACTAACTTACCTTTTTTGGTCCTCAATAAATAAGATGCTGAAGGCTGGTTGGCAATTACGCTACATGGGGGTTGTAAAAAAGACTGCATACGTAAGAATTGATTTTTAATTTTTTGCCCTCAAATAGCAAAGAAAACCTCAAGAGCAAAGCAATAACACCAGTAAATGTCATCATACATATTTCATAGTGAATAAGGGCATACCAGCCATGCTTTGCTTACTAACAGAAGCATAATAGTCTATCATTGCATTCTTTGCATCATTAGAAAATTTGATTACTGGAATATTCTAAATCTCGCAAATGCTTTAGTGAGGATGATCAATTGGCAGGTGTGTTGCCACTAGTCTTACACTGACTGCCTTTGAGTTTTGTTGCCTGGCTTGGGGAGAGCGTCCGTTCTCTCTAGCAACTCAAATGTACGTAACAGCGCCCAGTCAAAAAACTCATCTTACAACGAAAGGTACCAAGGACAAAAAAGGCAAGGTCCTGCTAGCCTTTGCCAGCCTGATGGACATGTTTTCTCTCAATAGCTTTATATGTCTTCTATCTTAACTTTCTTAATGGACTCCTTGTGTACAAGAAACACCCAAAAGATGTGGGCAAACAATTTCAGTTCACCACCGAACTAGGCAAAGAGCAAGCTTTCTTTTCGTAGCTGAACCTATAGCCGTAGCCCGTAGAGACCTAGAGAATAAAGGTAGGATTATAGTCTATAGGTACCAGAGCAGTTGAGCTTAAGTATGGAAAACATAACATAAATGAAATCATTGTGAAACTCCGAAATCCACTCTGCTGTCAAGAAATATCTTGTATTCCTTCTCTATGAACCAGTTACCCAGGTCTCAATCGAATTAGCAGTTAAAACTATTTCATTTCTGTTTAACAGATTCACAATAGTCAGTCATCTATAGAAAGAAGTGGAATGTTTTAGGAGGTGATTACACCATGCTATAGAAGTAAATTGTCATTTGAACACAAACAAAGAACTGAACTAGAAGAAACAATGTTCTGGACCTCTAGAGCAAATGAAGCATGTTCACACTTTTCCACTTTCAACATACTAGAGCAACATCACTGATCCAGTTCTACGCCAGTGTAAATTATGTGCATTCCTAAGTAGAGGTAAGCAAATCGGCCGAATGATAACATTTACAGGTAATCGAAAAGATCATTAACTCTTGCATGGATCAGCAATCAAAAGTTATAATTCAAACAGCATTAACAAAAGATGATTAAAAAAACAACAAACTTGGAATGTACATAAATCTCAGCACTTTAAAATCATAAACTTCATTTGAAAATCACAAATTCATTAGAAAATATACCTTCCAAAGGACTTTGAAAAACCCAAATTTCGGTTTCATTCTAACTTCCGATCTCCCCTTGAGTTCACCATATTCACAATCAAATTCCTCCAACCCCTTATTTACCTCTCCATTATTAACCAATCCCACCTCTTCCACAGCTTCACTTTTAGTTTTGTTCCCACTATTATATCCCATATCCATCCAAAACACAAACCCAACAAAGAACAGATAAAATCCAACAAATCCAATCGCCTGCCACAAGAAAATCTCAGCACTCAAATAAACATAAAACAGAAACAAAGCAGCAGTCAAGTAAAACAGCACATCTCTTATAAATGGTGCCGGATCCACTGCGAATGGTGCGGCATAAATCGCAACAAAACCCACAACAAATGCAGACACAAAAGCCCCAGCTGAAAGAATTGCGCCAAATCCAGTTCTGGGTTGGCCCCCTCGGAGAGCGGCTACAGATGCAAACACATCGGGGGCCCCATTTCCCAAAGCCAAAAGGGTAACAGCACCCATTGAAGGTGAGAGTTTCAAATGGGTAGAAAGCTTAGTAACCACCACTGAGAACCGATCCTGTGCCGTTTTGACCAAGATATAGAATTGCAAGAGGAGAACAAGAGTGAGAAATGGGATAGAGAAATATGGGTTTTCTCGAAATAGACAGAAATGGAAAGAGGAGTAATTAAACAAGCCATCGGAGTAAGTAAGATTGGAAAAAGAACAGATTAAGCTAGTGGAATTGTTCTTCTTCAGAAGGGACCTGCGAGGAATTAGTGAAAATGTTGAGGGATAGTTTGGAGATGGGAGGGGAATTAGGAGGAAGAAGAAGAGGGTTGTCAGAAGGATCAGTGAGATCGCAGTAATTCTGAGAGTGGAGGAGGAGAAGATGAAGGCCATGCCATTCCAAATGATCAAGTGAAGATTTGGTTTTCGGGGCTATTAATGTTAATATTTGTGACAGTTTTTGTTGTTTATTGCCTATTGGAGCGTTCGTTTTCTCTCTCCGCGTGAGCACATATTAAAGGAACGTTTGCATTATAAATTAATAAAAATGTCCAGTAAAAAGTTAACCCAGCTCCTTTCTTTTTGTCAAAATACATTTTAGGACAGTGTTTCGTTGCAAAATGTGTTATTAAAAAGTATGGAAAAGTTTTCGATTTACATGTAAAATTATTTTATAAGATAATTTGTAATTGAAAATGAATTTTAAAATAATGAAGACCAAACATAAGCTTAGCCCCCGTTTGATGCACATTTTGAAGGTAAGAATGTATTTTTACTGTTGATGTGATGGAGAATATGTGGTTGAAAAAGAAGGAAAAATTATTCATGTGATGGAAAATATTATTTTATTGAAAAATGTATGGTTAAAAATGAGTAGAAAAATAAAAATGAAAAAAATAATGTGAACCAAACAGAGCCTTAAATGTTATTCTATGAATTTTATTAAATATATAGATAAAGCTCCTGTTTGAGCTACATTATTTTTTCTCATCTCATTCTTATTCTTCTACTCATTTTCAATCACACATTCTTTAATAAAATAATATTTTACATCACATCAATAATTTTTTCTTTTTTTTCAATCATATATTTCTTATCACATCAACAGTAAAAATATATTTTTATTCCCAAAATGTGCATCAAACAGGGGCAAAAAGTAATTTGACTGCCGATTAATTCATAAATCAATGGCAAGAAACAAAACTTGACATTATACTAATTAGCTTTTAGTTTCTTTTCCATCCTCTATACGGACAAGAGGATTATACCAATCACATGCAAAAAATAAATAAATAAATACATGCCTAGTTAACTCACAAGAAATACACAGTAAATTTTATTATGTTGACTAGTCCCTTGAGTTGACATCTGTTGACTCCATTTAACCATCTTGTTAGCTGTTCTCTGACTTAAATGTTGACGCATCACCTTGTCAAGTCTAGTCACCAAATAGCAAGACTTCATTTGCTAACAAGAGCTGACACAATGATGCATCGATTTTCTAGCAAGGAGCAGCAAAACGGGAACAACAGATTTCAACTCCTTACAAAAATTCGCAAACCGTCAAGAATCAAATAGATGGACAATCATAGTTCAAAGCAGAAGAAAACATCCAAGTCTGATATTTCAAGTTTTAAAGGTAAATGACTAATTTCATTTGCATGGTTTTAATTCATCCATGTTTCTTTTTCTCACTTTTGTTCCAAGTGCTTGTATCTCCAACTAAGGGAAGAATAAGGTTACATCAAATGTCATACACAGGGGGACATTCTCATCTATATGTCTCAGGCAAGCGGAAGCCAGTCATGGCTATTTTGTCAGCAAACATCTTGCCTGTCTTTGGCATGACATGCCAATGCAACGTTAAGTTGAAGTCTTTACCCCGCAGATTGCTTCCCTGCAATGATATAGAGGAGAAAAAAACAAAGATTAATGAGAAAACCGCTAAAATTAAACATGCAAAAGTGCTCCACGAAAATCACTTACTTGGTCAATAAAACGATATTTGTTTGTTGTATGAATCCAAAATTTTGAGTGTTCTTTGGTAGGTATAATACCATCCCACAAGGAAACCTGCCAAAATGCATTTGAACAACTTGAAGAGTGAATGCACAGACAACTTTAAGCTAATAAACTCCCTCTGATCATTTTCACATTAATTCTTTCTTTTCATTAATGCTGAAAAAGGGACATCCCAAGCATATGAAAGAAGTAATATTGTGGGGGCATTGTGCGCAAATGTGTGGTTGGGGGCTGCAGGATCAAAGGCAATTCAAACATAATATCTGCTCAAACTACAAATCTAGTATATATTTTTTATGGAGTACACAAGATCCTCTCATAACAGGGAACCAGCATTGGCCATTATACCTCTAAACAAGTACAATCAGAATGCAAGACGAATTTAGTAGACTAATTTTTTTCATTTGAACACATAGTTAAATATTATTTTGATGTGGCCTGGATCGTGAAAGAATTCCATGTAAAACATACAATCAGGTGCAATCGCACTTTTATTCATGAGATTCAGCCACTTTCATATCCGTTGTATCAAAATAGTTGGTGCCCTCCAAAATATTTGATCAAGTAAAAACCTCAAAACATCTTCAAAAAGAAAGAATTGTGAAGAGAACAACACTCCTAATCAAGCACCAATCATTTTTCTCCAGCATTTACTACTTTGGCACTTCTCTCTCTCAGGATTTACTGCGTGCCTAACCAAAAATTCAACCCAACATGCAAATACGTGAATATTTTTGGAAATCCCAAAATCATTGAGAATCAATTAATTCCATGAATAATCCTTTTATCTATCAATCAAGATTCAAAAACTTCTAAGACAATAACTACTTAGAGCAACAATTACCAACTACGCATGTAGACCTGGAGAACATATTATACAATTCATAAACTACTTGGGTAGATTCACCATAAAGGAAAAAGCATCCATTATTTTGATTTCACCAGCAATTTGCATAATGATTATACCATGAACAGAAACAAATCATAAAAAAGTGGAAAGAGTGCACAAGGTCATGTTTGTGAACATCAAAGCAACAATCACATCCGCCTTTAATAAAACATGTGTTAGACAGCAATGACAACCACAGACAACCATGGAGTTATTAACATACACGATACTTCAATATGCCATAAACACAGGCAGACTGATAAAATAATGTAACAACAACCGCATCATCCAATCGATTGCAACACAAAACATAAGTTCAACAATTTTAATATGCATACCTGATTCAGCGCATTTTTTGGGGTTTCATACTCGGCTGCTAAAAATACAAAAACCTACAAATTCCAGATAAAATGTTGTTATATCCAAATGAACTGAACCAAAAATTCTACAAGCCCTATTTCTGAAGACCAAGGGGCTAGAGCTCACCAAATATAGAAAGAGCATATGTAAAAAGCTTTGTTCTTCAGTTTTTTGAGAAGAAAGTGGGGGCTATCAGAGAGACAGATTTGTCCAACACAAAAACATATCCTTAAAAAAAGGGAAAGTACAATAAAAAACTATTTTTACTCTTTTGGATGTGGGGCTTAGGTGAAAAGGCAAAGAAGTGAGGACGAAGCATCCATTTCTCCAGCAACAGAAGATAATATGTTCCAATCTCAAGCCACAAAAATCAGGTAAAGAAGTGATAATATGTTCTCATCGCAATAAATGAAAGTACATTAAAAAACTATTTTTACGCTACTGGAGGTGAGGCTTAGGTGAAAAGGCAAAGAAGTGGAGAGGAAGTATCCTTCCAGCAACAGAGGACAACATGTTCCAATCTTAAGCCACAAAAATCACGTAAAGAAGTGATGCTATCTTCTTATCTTAGTGACCCAATCTTTACGACTATCAGATGGACAAGCTACACAAACCCAAAAGCAATTCAACATCATCTCTTGGGGTTCGTTTACACAAAACAAAAAGTACTCTTCCTCCAGACTAGTAGTGCAAAAGTGACATGGAATGATGGAATTTCATAGATCACAAACCTGCTTTGTATTCCATGTGAACAAAGTTTCCAAGTTTGCTGTTATATTCAATGTGAAACTGACCTGCATAATATGGAAATGTATTTGTTAGAGAACAAGCAATGTAGCTTTCAGTTTTTATTTATCATCATGGGAAACAGGAAGCAGACAGATTAGCAGCAGAAAGTTTCACGACGTTAACTTCTCAATCTCATGGCAGTCATTCTGCTTATGCTATATAAATCTATCCATTTCGTTTGGCTATTGGAGCATCGATAACAAAAGTAACAGAAAAATCATAATTTTGATTTTGATGGTAGAAATGTAATAAAAATATTGAAATATAAACGAGAAAGATCAATAAGTTATGATCAATATTCAAACTTTCTAATGCAGAAGTCAAGAGGCTTCATAGATACTGAACATTATCATAACTGTTTTTCTTTTGCATGTTCATCATGCCATATGTCCAAATTTCTATGACCCACCCACCCAAACAAAAAAAGAATAAGATAAAAGCCCAAGGGATCGGAAAAAGCTAACCTAACAATTACGTTCTGTTCTAACTTCCATTAGTTATACTTTTCGATGGTCAGAGTGGGTGTGAGAAAATGAGAACAGGGAACCTAACAGGTCATGAAAAGAATACAGAAAGGATGATTAAAGATATATTTGCTAGCCATGACACATGCCCCGCATAGTTGTTAACATCACTTCATCAACTATCATTTTCATTCAAGTTTGGCAATAGTCCTTAGGATGACTGTTTAAATTAAATTCGATACCAAAGCATATATGTTTCACTACTGCTACCACATTACAGACCAGCGTTCATCAATACCAAACAATGTTACTCAACCCACTTCTGAAAGTAACTAAAAATCGTGTTCCTATACCACATTGTTGTCTCTCTGCCATGAAGTCAGTGACTACTTTACCCGAGTAATCAGGAACATAATTTTTGGAACTCATAGAAACTAATTTTGATGCACTGAAGTTCCAAGCAATTCAGAAATTATTACAAGCAAAGTGGAAATCAAAATTCAAAGGCTGATAGCCTGACACAGTCATTTGGAAGGCTTCTAGTCTATGACTTATTAGTTTATATGATGAGGTATGCTGCAAATACTGTTCCAAAAAAATCAAGGTCAAGATGGCAAAACTCTTCTATGCAAGTATCACTGATTAGCCTCATTGAATTTTTCAGTAAAGTATGCTACAGCTTATGGGATGCCCATCTTGGCTTAAAGTTAAAACACCTCTTGCACGTATGCCACTTCAAAGAACTTACAAAGGTAAGTGTGTCTTGGAACGTGAGCCTTGATCACTCTTTGTTTAGTTTTTAAGAAGGCTCAATGGGTTGCATAGATCTATCAAATTCTCCATTCTTGGTTAACTCAAGCAGTGATGGT